GGAGCGGCTCAACAACAGGCTGAGCCGATGCGGAATGACTGTGGAGTGTGCTTTTGGCCATTTAAAGGGCCGCTGGCGCTCTCTGTATGGGAAGCTGGACCTGGCAGATGACAGCATCCCTGCGGTTATATCCGCGTGCTGTACCCTCCATAACATTTGTGAAGGGAAGGGTGAAAGATTCACTCAGGCGTGGAACTTGGAGGTTCAACACCTGGAAGCTGAATATGAACAGCCAGAGAGCAGGGCTATTGGAGGGGGCCCAGCGCGGGGCTTCAAAGATTAGGGATGCCTTGAGGGAGCAATTTGAGGCTGAAAGCCGCCAGTAATGTTTGGTGCCCTGCATGGGAGTGAAGTACAGTGGTTCCAATGTTAGTAGGAATCTGTGTTTGCTACGCTGACTTGCAGTGCCTGTTGTTTTCCTGGCCTAAGGTATCTTTTACTTTATGCAGTAATAAAGAATGTTTTCAAAGCCAAAAAATCCATTTATTGAAAAGAAAATTCATTTATTGAAAAGAAACACAAATGCTTGGGAAACAGAAAGGGCAAGAGGGTGGGGTGGGAAACGGTACAATCACAAATTTGCGTATGTCCTGTTATCATACTGAGCCGTCCTGTCTGGAGTGCTGTGCAATGAGTGCTGCACTTCAGCGTGGCTTTAATGCTTGGTGATGGGGGTTGAGTGCAGTGGGTAAGGGTCGTAGTTTTCAGAGCTGGGTGGTGGTAAGAACCCTGATGTTGGGGAAAGTGGGTTGGGTGTGACAAGGGGGCACAAGGGAAAGAGTTTGGGGACTATGGATACGGGGGGAGGGGGGGAGCGGGCAGGCACGGTAGAGCCCCACCTGCATGGCTATGAGCGTCTGGATTGAGCCCGCCTGGCGCTCCATGATGCTCATTAGTCGATCCATGCTTTGCTGGCACAAAAGCACGGAGCTCCGGCAGCACTCTTTATTCTGCTGGTGGATCCTCCTTTCGCACTCCCTCCACTCCTGCGCTTTTACATTCTCATTGAGGGACTGCTGCATTACTTTATGCAGCATGTCTCCTTTGCTTCTACTTGATCTCTTCCTTATTCTTTGGAGTCTTTCGGCCGGTGATAACATGGACGGCTGAGATCTTGAGGTTGCATCTGTAAAGGCAAAATGCAACACTTAACAGAGGCATCATTGTTCACACCAGTCAGAGCAATGATTCCCCTCTACTTAAGGGCAAGCACAGTTTACCCAATAGCATAATTTGCCCGTCCCAATGCGAGTGCACATAATCCACGGGGGCCCCAAAATGGTGAGTAAGCACAGGGTCAAGGGGGACTGATTGTTTCATGGCCGTACTGTCCTCTAGGTTGGGGAGAGCCAACAGCTGCAGGGGGCCCCTATGCTGAACACTTTCCCCACATTTTCCACAGGAGTTTGTCCTGGAAGATATTTCGCTGCTGACCTGGGTAGTCTTCTACTACAATGCGGTTTCCACCCTGGCCCATATACAGCTTGCCTGTGTGCAGCAATGGTCCCCCCACCCCTCATGGCACAGTGGCATGGACATGTTAGCCTGACTGGGACAAGGACCACAGTGGCTCTCCCAAGAAACCTGCACAAGCGCATTGCCCAAGTTCTGGATGAGACCTTTGAGGAGATCACTGAGGCCAATTACCATGATGTGAGAGAGCACATCAACGCCCTATTCCGCATCTAGGCCTGCATACAGCCCTAACCCTCCTCACCTCGAACCCCAACTTCCTTCCCAAAATAAAACCCACTTACCAGGAACCTCCTCTGGTGTTTGTCCTTCCCCAAGCACCGGCCAACGCGACTGGCTACCTTCCTCCTGGCTGCATGCATCTAGGGATTCCAGGGTGTCTTCCTCCTCCTCAGCACCCTCGCTCCCGCTTTCCTCCTCCTCCTTCTCCTCCTCCTGCCTTGTTGAACTGGGCTCTGAAGTGTCCATGGTGGTCCTTGGAGTGGAGGTGGGGTTGTCCCCCAAGTATCGCATCCCTCTCTTTGTAGAAACAGCAGGTTTCGGGGGCACCACCGGAGCGGCAGTTTGCCTCGCGGGCTTTGCGATAGGCATTCCACAGCTCCTTCACTTTAACCCTGCACTGCAGTGCATCCTGGTCATGGCCCGTTTCCATCATGTCCCTTCGTATCTGCCCAAAGGTGTCGTAATTCCTACGGCTGGAGCACAGCTGGGACTGGACATCTTCCTCCCACCAAACACTGATGAGGTCCAACACCTCGCCATTGCTCCATACTGGGAATCGTCTGGCGCGTGGAGGCATGGTCACCTGGAAAGATGCGCTGAGAGCACTCCATGCTTGGCTGAGCAAACAGGAAGGGGATTTTCAAAATTCCCAGGGAATTTAAAGGGCAGGTCTGACGATTGGTCATGCTGAGGGCAGGGCAGTAGAGTTCAAAGTGATGAGCAGAGTGGCTAGAACAGGCATTGTGGGAGACTTCTGGAGGCCGATCAGACCAGGGCGTCCACACTGGCGCCGCAGTGCTCCAGCGGGGGTCATCAAACATTATTCCACTTGCCGAGGTGGATTACCAGGAGCGCTCTAGCCGCAGAGTGCCTTGCCAGTGTGGACGCGTCATGAGTTAGAGCACATGGGGCTGCTTTAATGCGCTCTAACTCGCAAGTGTAGCCATGCCCTTAGTTAAGCACAGCCTCTTGCATTAAAGAGAAGTTAACTAGTTTTTGTTCTGAGTAATTGCTTGTGAAGGGAAGGTTAGTAACAGCATCAGATGCCAAAGCTCTGAGGTAACTCTGAAGTAGCTATTCTAACTACAGTGAGGGCTTGTCTACACTGGCAATTTACAGCACTGCAACTTTCTCGCTCAGTGGTGTGAAAAAACACCCCCCTCAGCGCAGCAAGTTTCAGCACTGTAAAGTGCCAGTGACCAGAGCTTTCTCCCAGCACTCTGCCATGACTGCACAAGCCACGTTAAAAGCGCTGCAGCGCTTTAGCGTTGCCAGTGTAAACTAGCCCTGATAGCTTGCAATATTCCCTTCAATCCCAACTGTTGTCAGCAGTTACTCTTGTATATATGTTTATTCCTACATGGAGTTCTTTGAAGAACTGATTGCAGGGTCAGGCATTTACTCTGCAAATCTAACCCTGATGTGGAAGGTGTGATGCTTTGGGATTCACCCAGGCCAGTAAGGCGTTCAGTCTTGCAACTCTGGGTGCCTTAAATGTTATGCAGCTGTGGCTCACAGTCATGTCACCAACAGCCACCATACAAGCAAGAAAGTCTCACTCTGGCTTCCACGGCTCAATTACTCTTTGCAGGGGGATCTCACTAACACTTGTAACCCAGAATTGTTCCCAAAAGCATTTCTCTGCTGTGCTCAGCCCCCTCTCATGGTAGCACTCACCCCCATTGAGACTAAGTGGTCATCTTCCCCCACTTGCTTGCCTGATGGCTTTTTTTTACATTGCATGTGAATGTGCTTTTCATTTTCTGAGGTCATACCTTAATTTACATTGGAGACTGCAGTCAAGCCTGGAAAACAACACTGCCAAATATATTTGAGGGACATATTTTCCAGCACATCTGCATAGCTTTTTACATGTCAACCCTACATACACCATGCAAGAATATTAATGATCAGTGAGTTACTAGTTTGAATATATTCTAGTTACTAGTGAGTTACTAGTTTTTGATACAAGACACCTTCTAAATAAATATCATGACAACAGTGTGTGGGGTGCACACAAAGGTAAGCAGGCCAGTTGAGACACATTGCTACATACCAAGAAGCCCCTTTTCCTGTGGCATTGGGATGCTCTTAGGGTCACAGAAGGCCCCTCTCATAACAGATTATTTATCTTCAGTGTTAGGCCATGTCTCTTCATGGAGCAGTTCACTGGTGTAGTCCAGTGGTTCTCAAACTATTGTACTGGTGACCCCTTTCATATAGCAAGCCTTTGAGTGTGACCCCCCCCTTTATAAATTAAAAACACTTGTTTATATATTTAAAACCATTTTAAATGTTGGAGGCAAAGTGGGGTTTAGGGTGGAGGCTGACAGCTCGTGACCCCCCCCCCCCATGTAATAACCTCATGACCACCAGTTTGAGAACCCCTGAGCTATACTGATATGCTATACAGCAAAGCCCTCCTAGTGTAGACACAATTATATTTGCAAAGCTGCACTTTCACTGGTGTAGTTTATATTGTCATCCCCAAACAAAACAAGCTATACCAGTACAAGTATTGTTTAGCCAGTTTAACTGTGTCTACATTAGGGGCTTCTGCCAGCACAGCTATGTCAGGGATCAAAACCTCTTCACATCCCCAATTGATGTAAGTATGCCGGAGGACATTTGTAGTGTAGACTTTAGTTTAGTTCATGTGCTTCGCCAAATTTCTGGCTGTTGAATAGTGTGCAGTAGGAACAGCAGTTATCTGAACATTCATTACTTAAGGTGTGAAGTGACATGAAAGCCTCTTTCTAGAAAGGGGATGATCTAATTTGTATTTCCTTGTAGCATTCTACAGGCCAGATCATTCTAATAAGCAACGGAATATTTTTTTAAATAGAGAACTTCAGTCAATGGATTATGTATTTGAATTCCGGATGTCAACTATTTAGATCACCTTTAATCAAAGTGTGTTGTGCCAAATACGGTAATTGATAATGAGGCTTAGGGTATGTCTACACTGCGAAGTTGTCGACAAAACTTTTGTCTTTCACGGGTACTTAAAAAAGCCGCCCCCCCCCCTCCCGAAAGACAAAAGTTTTGCTGATGCAAGTGGCAGTGTGAATGCAGCTTTTTCAGCAGGAGCGCTCTCCTACTGACAAAGCTAACGCTGCTTGCCGGGCTGGTAGTATTTTGTCGGGAAAAGTGCCGACAAAGAGCGTTTACACATGCTGATTTTTAGCGACAAGGCTATGTCGACACAGCCTTGTTGCTAAAAGCTGCATGATGTAGACAAGCCCTTAGTTACCACTTTAATGACACCTGCTACCTGCTAATTCACTATATGTTTCTATTTTTAGTTTCCTTGTTGTTTTGGGGATTTGTCAAAGATGAACTCAGACGATTACATGTCTTGGAGTGGAGCTAGTATCCTTTCATGTAACCTCTCTAGAAGTCTTATCCTTTTTCCTATTATACACATTTATGTAGCAAATATGATCTTGATATTTACTACTTGGTGCAAACTTTAGCCTCTAAAAATTGAGGCTTTTTGATGTAAGTAATGTTTGTCAAGCACTTTGAAGAAAAAAAGCACTGTTAAGTGCCAAGTTATAAACATAAATTGTAGTAAAATGTAATATATTAACTCTCTTTGTAATTTTAGTAACTAATACAGAAGACACTTTTAGCTAAAAAGATTTGATAAATATTTTAGAGCAACCCTTTTATTAGGACAGGTCTACACTTAAAACGCTGGGCTACTGTAGCACTTTAGAGAAGACCCTGCTACGCTGACAGGAGAGCTTCTCCCATTGGCATAGTTAATGCACCTCTGTGAGAGGCAGTAGCTGTGTCAACGGGAATGGTTAGAGCTGAAAAGCTTACAAATAGAACTTGTGTTAATCATTTTGCTATTTAGTTTTCACTCTAACTCTAGACAAAAAAGCTTATTGTTACTTTTTTAATTTTTGTTAGCATGACACTGTTCATTTGGATTGCAAGCAGTTTGGGGTAATATCTAAATTCCTTCCCAAAACTGTTCATTAAATTAAAATTAATCACTGAGCATTTGTTTTAATATTAGATTTTGTTACAGCACTTTAAACAAAACCTAAAGTGGCCTTAATCAGATTTCTTTAACTATTTTATAATTAACAAGAAATTTTAAATTGTATATACAGTATTTTATTTTTAGGATGTGATTTTTTTTTTTCTTAATCACCAAGTACTGCAGTTGCTAAACAAAATTAGAATATGTCTGTGTCCACCAAAGGATAAAGCTCATTTCTATTTTGATATGCTGGCACGCTTCGGGATGTGTGTGGTTTTGCTCACTAATCTTTCTTCAGATACTTCTAAATCTTTGACTAAAATAGATAAGTCTATCTGTGAAATGATTAAAAGGTGCTGTGTTGATACCACCATAACTGGCTTTTTCTCTTTCCTCGCATTGTGTTCTCTACCTCTTCTTCGGTTTCTTTGTCTTTTCTTCTCCCATTTATGTGCCCTCCCCCCCAATCTTGCTGTGTGCCCTTCTCTAGTATTATGCAGTGATTTTCCCCCCCGCATCCCAACATATCCCACCACTCTCTTCCTCTAAGATCTCTAAAGGGATAGTATTTTTACTTGGTTAACATCCGGTGATTTCATTGGAGTTGAAGGTGCTCAGCACAATGTTGGACTGGACCCAGTGTAATCGAAACAGAATTATGGACTTCTCTGCAGGATCAAGACAAAGATGATGTTGCTTTCTGAAGGACGCTATTATCTGAAATACCATATGCACTGCAAAACTTGCAGATACAATAGTTATTAAGGATGACTGTTCAGCCTTAATTTTTCTGCGTTTGTGGGTTTGTTAACCCCTTGGGATACATTTTAAAAGTATTGCATAAGGCTTAATTTTGTGATTCCTGTTAAAGCAGTGGGTGTTTCATAACCAAAATTCTGAGTGAAGTACAGGGACATGCTTCCAAAATTTGACCCTTTTCTCTACCACCCTCTCCAGTCAGTCAAGATCAGTTAATTCAATTTTGCATTTTAACTCAGATACCTAGGGACAAGTAAAAAAGCCAGTGATTTGAAGTACTACAGAAATACCAGAATACCAGGTGACATGTATACTGCCCTATACCCACATGGGTAGTGGACGTGTAGTGAAAACAGACCATAGTTTTAGTTTTTACCATCTTCTAAAGAAGCTAGAAAATGGAGGAGAAACAGAAAGCAGCAAGGAGAAAGATTCTTTTGTCTTCAACAACTCTCAAATGCTATGAAACACACAGAGGGCCCTGATCCCACAAAGCTCTTAAGTGTGTGCTTAACTTTAATCATGTAGGCAGTCCATAAGTGAATAACAGAAAGGCAGAAGCATATGCTGCATTTTCATTTTTAACTACCTACTTTGTTAAATCAAATTATAACCTAAATAAACAAATTAGGCTATCACTATGTTCTGGTTTTGATTAAAATTAATTTATTTCTATTAGAGAATTGCAAGGACTTCCTAAGTGGAGATGTGTTAGACTTTAAGATGAACTTTCATATGTTAATATTTGCAGGTGGCACATTTTTCAAACTGTAGTCCATGAACTGCACAAGCTACCCTTAACTCAAGATGCATCCAGACTTGTCTCCTCACCTGCACAGTGAAGAATGTAACGTAGTTATCAGTCTGCTCAAAGAGTGTCACAAGGAGGTAAGAGTTTTGAAAAGTTAAACAAGTTGTGTGTGGGAATTGGGTGTCAGTATATTAGCAAGAATATTATTTCGTCAGAAAGTGACATCTCCCCTTCAGGCAGAACAACCATGAGCTGTTCTTCCTCCCATCTGTCACACATGCACTAAATTTACCATATTCTGGCCATCCAGAAGGCAGATGGTTCAGTCTGTTTGAAAGTAGGTGCTCTAAGTGTATTGACAGTGATAAGAAAATGCAGAGTGCCTGACTCTGCACATGTGCCTGACACCCGCTATGTGGAGAGTTGAAAATTTAAACAGTTGCTGGGATTTCAATGAGATCTGCTGTTAGACTTCTATATTTTAATATGGATCAATCAGCACCATCTAAATATATAATCAAACACATTTCTGTGAAGTGGCTCAGAGATCCTTCATTTTTTCAAGCAAGTAGAAACTTGAGATCACCCACTTGGAAAAAAACTTTACATTTTCATTGGCTGTGCAGTAAATCTTAAATGTAGAAGGATCATCCTCTATATTCAAAAACTAAATAATGTATCTGCTGTATGCTATATCATTGCTAAATTATTTTCTAAATCAGTGTTGCATGCAGAAGTATTTCTATATCAAGACACAAAAAGTCCATTTAATTTCAATTGTTTTCACTGAGACAAAGAATAAATTTAAATATTGAATCTTAATGAGCAAAACAGTGGCTTGCCCTATTACACATAGAATGAAATATCTTCATCTCAGGTTGTTCAAATATCACATTTGAATCTTTGCATGGAATCTGTTGCTTTAGAATTTATTGAAACTACTAAATGCATTCATCTCCTTTCCTCTAATGTTTCTACTAGAATTTTTAAATAGCTTCAGAAATAAAAATGTTACATTCAAAACTGCATAAACTTGAAATGGACTAGTAACATAGAAGGTATTGGGATCAAATTTAAGGCTGATCAGAACCTTAGCCTACTCTGAAAGAACACTGAAGGGAAATGGTGAAATTGACTAAGCAATTAATCAAATATAGAAAGCTAACTGCTAGATTTTTTTTTTCCAACTAGTTTTAGTTGTAGTTCCTAGATGTTACTTATATTTCTCGTACATGCAAAATATTTGGAGAAATCTGATTTTCAATTTGATCATTTAACCAGTTTTTTAAAATGGCTGTGATGTATAAATCGCAACAAAATATCTTAAGTATGGACTTAGTTTTAAGTGTTTTTTACTAGCAGTGTGGGAGAACATGACATGTTCTGCCGGACAAAAATTAATATATTTGCATCATGTCAGCACTTGCTTTAAGATGTGAAGAGGCATAATAGGCACTCCCATTTAAGAACTGATAAATATCCATTCGTATTTAAATAGTCAAGGGCCACTTCTGCAAAGTGGTGTCAGTAGAACTGTAATTGAGAATGAAAGGTCTGAGCATTTATGTGACAATCCTATTGGGTCTTGAAGTCCTTCAATATGAAATATTAGTGGAATAGTTTTAATTCATGATAGATTGGCAATACATGAGTGTGGGACTCTTCCACTGACATTCTTTTGGCTTCATATGTCTGTCAGATGCCGTAAATTATGTGAAATCATTACAATAGTACTGAAAGTTAAAATATAGAAAGAACTTCTGGTTCCTCTATTTCAGCTGTGCATACCCTTTATAATTTGTGGTTACTTTAAAAACTCTACTCATTTAATTTCATTCTCATGTTTCAAAATAGTAAGACACTAGTTCACAATAAAAGGCGCCAGTACTTCAAACTTTTAATTTATAAATACATATTTTAATTAAACCTAATAAAAAAGTGTGATCTCCTCCTGAAAATGAGTTAGAGCTAGGAAAGCTGGTGAGATCTGGACCCATCCATATGTGAATTTCCTCCTTCCTTGCTGTCAGAGGTTAAGTGAGGGGACAACAGCTACTCCAGGCAGGCTGTTTGGCCTTGTCTGTAATAATAATACATACTGTCCAATGCAAACAATGTTGTTATAGTGTACTTTGGGATATAATGTATGTAGGGATTTTTTTTATAAGTTTGTGCAATCATTCTCCTGTTTGGTGGTGTATCTTGGTTTATTTGTAAATAAATCACACAAAGATTAAGCAAAATGGACAGGAATATTTTTCAGATTAATACATTGTACATTATTTGAACAGGTTGTAATTGCACCAAAATGAGGACAGATAAGACTGTAATATCGCTCCACTATGAAAATAAACTAAGGAATGGCCTCTTTTGTGATGACACAGAGGTCTGACTCAAGTTTTTTGGGCCAGATTCTGATTAATAGCCTTATTCAGGGTATTTTACTCCACAAATAGCTGCTTTGCGTTCAATGGGACTGCTCATATCATAAAGGTATTACTCACCATGAATAAGAGATCAGAATCTTATCCTTTGGATGTAGGTTGATGGACTGTAGAGCCTCTGTAAATAATGTTGTGGCAACAATACATTCTTAAACTACAAAAATTGGTAACTTTTCCTTTTTTGGATTATTGCTTCAGTCTGCCTTTTAAAATAGAGATAATCTGAAATTTACATGTGCTGAAAACTTTCTATTGGTGCCTAAATGTGCACTCAACCAAACAATGAGTGGGGATTGTGTAGTAAACTCTTTGACACTGTCATAGCTCTAACTCTGTCCTCATGGGAACTTGAACAATTCTGTGGGCAGTATCATCCCAAACTACTTATTAAGTAGTGTGACCCACACCTTCCCTAATTTAGCTCACTAAACACAAGAGATTAGTTTTCATTCACAATCTAGATAGTCAGCCCAATTTCTCTAGCAGCCCTTTAGAGGATAACTTCCAGTACTAAAGGGCACACTTCATTAATTTCCATACAAGTTTTGCCTTTATACTGTATGTAGGAACAGATAATTACTGTTAAAGACAGCCATTTTCCCCAACTTCATTTAATTTGTGTCACTGCTCATCAATTTAAAGTCCTAGTCCACTGGAATTTGTTACTCAAGTTCTCACTTAATACTATTTGACCACAGTATGCTCTGTTTAAATCTTCTGTTCTTGTGCTCTCTCTAAATTCTTGAATTATTATGAGGGAGCCTTGCCTAGAATAGCTGCAAATTCTTAAATTGGAATGGAGTGTCCAGGGTATATTCTCTGTATTTTCTCCAAATTCTGCAGCCTCATTTGTCTGTGCAGTCTAAATGATCTAGGTAGTCTGAGGTGTTGCATGGGCATACAGTTTTCCTCAGCCAAGTTAAATAAAAGCAAGCAGGATTCTAACCAGGTACCTAATAACTAAAACCATGTTAGGAAGTTCCTCTCCATATCAACTGCAGCAATATCAAAGGAGGTTGCCAATAAAATGATAGCTGCTCACGTTTAATGGGACAGTAGAAGTAAAACCAAAACACATTTTTATTTAGACACTGCAGAATCCTAATGTGTGGATTTTGTAATCACCTTAAAAAAATATTGTAAATAGCATTGCCGGTGAAATGGGTGACAGAGAAGAAAATTAGTTCCCTTTGGTTTGTTCTGCCTAGTGGTGTGTAAACTGATTTGGCTAATAAACTTTGACCAGAGAAGCCTGTTTTATTCCTTTCATTGTTGGAATTATTGTTACTCTGCTTTCCTCTTATAATTTTATGTTGTATAGGTTGGCACAATATGTCTAATAAAACTGTCTATTAGCTTTAGAAAGGACTTGATTTGAATATGCTCTTCTACTTGAACTCCTTGGCAACAGTGAGTTGCCCGGGTTCATTGCCTATTTAAGGTGCTAAAGGATTAAGAGTAGTGGTAATAAATTGATGCAAAGGATTATATTTTTTTCAGAATGTGTTCTTGGTTTGACTGAAAGACAATTTCTCCTTGGGTGAAGAAGGACTTAATTGGTTCTTTCAGCTTTGTGCATAACTATGAAAAGAGAGGTGTTTGCACACTCTTGAGTTTCTGCTATGAAGAGAAAATGTCTATCACAGACAGTTCAGTCATAAGGAAATGATGTTTTTATCTAAACTTTAAAAGAATTTATTGAAATATCTTACTTTGGAATTTCATATTTCACTGACTTCACCCTCAGTGTCTGAGTCACTGAAAACTCTGGCCATTACTTAACTAAATTGCCATGAGTGTAAGCTTCTATGTAGCTGAATTCAATACTCTTAAAAGTGATAACTTGAATTGGGCAGTGTGGTTAAACATCTCCATAGAACTCAGTTTAATGTATTTCATTGCTGACCTGAAGCATGACTACTGTACGAAGTTCATATTTGTTGGATAGAAGCTGTCAAGCATGCTATTTGCTCAATGTTACCTTAGACACTTTTGAAAGATAAACTATTGTTGTGCCAAGTGAGAGCTTTAAAAAGGCCTGTATTTCTTGCAACTGTCAGCTGTAGAACATAGGGTTTTACAAGCACTTCACTATTATGAGAGTGACACCCATCCTGGAAAAACTGAATTTCCATAAGTTGACCCATAAAAAAGATGGCGTTTTACTCTCATCGCAGACTCCATGTTAACTAGATTTAAAGCAGTAAAATTTCTTTTCAAGCTGGAACTTAATTTCACTTACACAATGTCCATTGGTGTGCTTCAGCTTCAAGGAGTTTAAATATAATAAGTCTCACTAAACTTGAAAATCCACTTATTTTATATAGATAGTGGATCCCAAAACATCTCAACAAAGTATACTTTAAAACGTAAGGAAAATCTCAGAATTCAAGAAGTTGTCATGAATGTAATCAGTCTCTAGAGCGAATACAAGACTCCATGGTATATGAAAGAAGATACGTAAAGGTTTGATTGAGAGCCATCTCAGCTTATCATGACAATGCATTTCTTTTGAATGTATCTTGAAGTTTGATAAATAATTGTAAGAGAGACCAAGACCAAAGTTTTAAACTGGTGTAACAGTCAAATTCCATGCAAATCTATGACTAAAGAATATATCCTACTTTTCTATTGCACGTCTTCCTCAGCAATATCCATTAATTTGATGGTACATGCTTGGTCTGATAAGCTGT